AATTAAGTTATGTGGTTTTATAAAGTCAAATTGAGAACAAAATTGGCCTACTGTGTCAAAAGTGAAAAACTAACCTTATTATAGATGCTTTTACTTCTTCTTCTGTGCTGTGGTTCAATTTAATTTAATCAAGGTATAATACTGAATCAAAATGTTAAAAAATATGTACCAGCATTGTCATAGTTGTGTGATCTTCCTTTGCACATCATTATGCAAATAGCAATGTTAAAATACAACTGTCTTTTCCACCTCGTGCACACCATCACCACAAACAGAATGTCTTTCCTTACTGTTCAGCTGTAAGAGGAAGCCTCCAAGGTTAGCTGGTAGCTGAATCCTGATTCACGCCTCAGCTAACTGGAACCTGCAAACTTCCTGTGGCTCCCCTGAGTTCCAGATTGCTTCCCATCATCTTGCTGTGTGACAGGAAATGTTCTGGTTACCATCAGCAGCAGATGCTTGTGCCCCCCTGACCTGGCCATGGTAGCTGCCAACCACTGCTGTGCACTGGGGACTGTCCCTTGGTGCAGCAACTTCACAACCCTCTGGATACTCTGGAAATGCAGCAGGGAGCTGCAGCTTTCCAGCACTAAGTGTCTTGCTTTCTGGATTTGTTATACCATTCAAAGGGGAATGTCTCACGAGGCAGTAGTATTGAATGTTATTAATTTCACCTAGATTAAGATAAAAAGAAATTTATTCATAACAAAGGTTTCTATTAGACATAGGTAAGGAAGCAAAAGGAAAGTGCTCACATACTGTTCATACTATTTCCATCTGATTTACCATACTAACCCAGATGTCAAGATTGCTGTGGTCCAAGATAATTTGTGTTCATGTTACATCACTGGAAAATCCCTCTTTTGATGTAGCATGTTAGCTTTTATAGCCAATTTTTGGTAACATTTGAAATCTTCCTGAAGAGATCCAGGGAGATTTGATCTTATTCAACAAATTTTGTTTTACTTTTAATATGAGAGATACTCTGGCCATTTAAAAGAATTTAAACAAGTGTTATTTCATTTCCCAGAAAATATGAAGCCTCTTCATTAGACTGGATGCCTTCCATCCTAATTGGCTGTCTATTTAATGACTGCTTGCCTTAACAAAGGCTGTATCTTGTCCTCTCATCCCTTTGCTAATTCTGGTGTTTCACTATGAAGTGTTTCTTCTATTGAACCTTAATTCTGTGTCAGTCTTTCTACTAGCTGAAAACACCAGATACAATTGCCTACATGAGGTAAATGTATTTATCTCATTCCTGGGCACTGACTAAAACCAGACACCACAGTAAATGAAGATTCTGGGATGACAATCATCCATGTTTCCTGGATTTTTTTAAGAAAGTGATGATTTTGGACCCAGTTTCTAAATAAATCTAACCTGACCTAACTTGCTTTGAATCTAGGGAACGAGGTCAGGGACTTGTTGTATTTAAAAATGAACAAATATTTGTGTATGTGTACATGTAGTAAAAAAAAAAAAAAAAGTTATTTGGGTTTGATTTTCCTTTTTTTTTGCTTACTGACCAAACTAAAATGTCAGAAATAAAGCCTAATCTTGACTTGAAGTGTACAATTTTTGTGTCTTGTCAGAGAAAACAAACGTTTTAGGTCATAATGTGCCTTTGTGAAACATTTACATATTTATGTATTATTCAAATGAAAATGACTGATGCTAATTATTTGTGAATCTGACAATTTTGCCCTGCTCCAACTATACCAATATTACTGGCGGAAGAAATAAACTAAATTTGAGCAAGTGAAAGATATTAATTCACTATTTGAAATGTACTAGTTGAAAAGTCTCAACAAAACCATTACATTACTAAAATTGCAAAAGAATTTGGTTTTGACAGCTGAATCACTGACTGGAAACAATTGTTCTGAAAAAAAAAATGCAGTTTTTATAAACATAGTCAGTGGTTTACAGTAAAAGACATTTCCCCAAATAGCTAAAAAAATTGACCTTTCAGATACACTGTCACAGACTAAAGAACTTAAAAGTCAGCTTTAATGTTTTTTATTAGGCACTGTCTCTCCAGCTGTTTGAATGAAGCAGTAACTGACATTTCAAAGTACACGTCTCTAATTATGCTAAAAGATTAAAAAATAAAAATCTTCCTCTTTTGCAATCTAAATACATGCATTACTACTATTTGTTTGGGGGTTTTTTTTGCCCTTTGTTTGTTTTTCTTACATGTGAGGACAGCATGAAAAATTTACTATCTCTCTCACTACAGCACTGAAACAGTCACAAACACATTTCCTTCCTTCTTCTATTCCATTAGCTATAACTTAGCCATGGTTTAGAAAATACTGAAATTTCAGCTTCCAAAGTGATTGCATATGATTGCAAGGGGAAAAAAAGGGTATTTTTACTCTAGACCTAGAGCCCAGAGTGAGGTTCCCTCTAGGAGAGGAATTGTGCAACACCAGTTCATCTTCAGAAATGAGAAAATGTTAACCTCTTCCTTTCATTAACTTCTCAGTTTTAAAAATGCTTAGCAAGTTTTCTGTTATTTATAAATGCCAACTAAATTTCTCCACTAATGTAAACAGGTAATGCTTAGATATCTAAATTTTCTTGACAATTTTCTTGCAAATTCCTCTTTTCAGCTCCAGATGTTATCTATTGAGATTTAGTTCTGTAGTATTTTAACAATATATTTTTAAAACTAATATTGGCCAACTTGAACAAGAATGTAAAATCAGTTGGTGATTTTTCTTCCAAATTCTTCCACATTTTTGACCCTCTGTTGAATTGAAAGCTTTTTTATATTTGCTGTACTTGGGCAAAAATATATTTTTCAACACGTTAACTTTTCCTTACCCAGTATCACTACAATAATTGAATCCTAGCATTTAAAAGCTATGGTGTACCTTCAAGTCCAAGTTTGTTGTAATTTACCTTAATCTGTTATTCTCTATTATAATTCTTTATCACATTTAGGTACCACCATATCTATCTTACTATAAGGCCTGCCAATGAAACTCATGCATTAGGGTGCTAAATGCTTGCATATTTTGTATGCAGGTAATGCAGAAAGAGTGAAAGAATCCCTCTGGCATGTGATAACAGCACCTCCATCAGTCCCTACTGAATGTAGTCTGCAGTTTGTAAAAATAAATGCATAAAATATCAAACTGTCAGGTTTATTTCACAAGCACATAACAGTTTCTTTATAATTCTGTGAAGAATTTGAACATCTCTGAACAAATTCCATTCACTGAGTGAACAGAAATTTTAAACGAGAACATAAAAACATGAAAACTTTAAATGAGATAGTGAAAAGCAAAAGCCTTCTTGAAAATGTCAAAACTAATTTTCTGTTAAAGCTGCAGTTACCAAAAATCTTCTAGAAAAGGTCTAACTCTGACTTGAATCTGGAGAATTTGAATGTATCTGATGTCAGGGAATTTCATCCTTTCGCCTTTAATAGATGACTGGAAAACTGGATCATAGCTTTAAGGCACTGGAGGTGTTCTGATGACTTCAGAACTGTTATGAACCTGAAATATAAACCAGTTAAATACAAATGTATTTGCTTTCACTGTCTATTGACATGCTAATAATTTTTTTTTCTCTTAAATCTACTGACTGCATTATTGTTATTTGGAATATAGCGCATTAATTATCCTCTTTGCTAATACTTGTCCACTATTGTAGCTATCTTCAGAACAGTCAGCAAATAATACAGCTTGCAGATCAAACATTCCTTAAAAACAGGATGCTGTAACAGTCTTGTGCTCAGTGTTACAACAAATGAATGGTATTTAAAAGGTATTGGCAAATGAGCTGCATGCCCCAGTTTGTGAGGGGATACTGCAGGACACAAACTGGAAGAAAGTGCTGCTTGTAGTGAAGAGCTCCTTGAAAAGTGGAAGGTCAAGGGTTAAAGTACTGAGCCCTCAGGAGTCTCCATCTGCTGTGGTTCCTTTATTTTGCACAGCTCTCTGACTACAGACCAGTCACCACAGCTCTACTGTGGTGATGGTGGTCCTTCACCACCCTCACAGTAAAGAATTTATCCCTAATATCTAATCTGAAAACTGAGAATAGATACTCTGAACCTATTCTCAGTTTGAATCCATTCCCCCTTGTTCTGTCACTACACACCCCTGTAAAAAATGTCTCTCCATCTTTCCTGTAGGCTCCCTTCAGGTACTAGAAGGCCACTATTAGGTTACCCCTGAGCCATCTCTTTCCCAGACTGAACAATCTCAACTTTCTTAGCCTTTCCTCAGAGGAGTTTCTCAACCGGGCCGCGGATTCCTCCCCTGCCTGCACTGTCGTTCACGCACTTCACCCTCCCAAATCTTTCCCCGACAAGGAAGCAGGTCTCAAGGTTCATCTGTCAGGGCTCATTAGTACCGTAAATCATTAACGAAGCAAACGCAGTACATCCCACAGCGCCGAGTGTGTGTTTATTGATCTGCATTACCACAGCGACCTCCGCAGCTTTTCGGACCCGCTATGGAGTGGGACTGCGGCGCTGCGGGCACAGCAACCGCGCAGAAGAATCCCACAACCAGCTCGGCTGGAAAAGACCCCCGAGACCATCGAGACCGAACACCACCATGCCGCCAGTGCCGCGTCGAGTCCTTCCTCAAACACCCCCAGCGACGGTATCTCCACCACCCCTCTGTGCAGCCCATTTCAGTATCTAACCACCTTTCCTGAGGAGAAATTCCTCCTAATGTCCAACCTAAACCTCCCCTGGTGCAGCTTGAGGTTACGGCCTCCTGTCCTGTCACTTCACGAGGGTACATGACGCAGTCAGGCGCGACAGCGGGGTAACTACGCACACCGCACCGCCCCAACCCCCACCGGCCGACTCCGAATCGGATCGGGTCGGGTCCGGTCCGGTCCAGTCCGGTCCCTGCCCCGCGTTTCCCGGCGGTGGGAAGAATCGCGCATGCGCGGAGCAGCCCCCTGCGCACGGGGTGAGCTGTGGCGGCTGCGCGCGCGGCGGCGCCGGCCCCGCCCCCTGCCCCGCCCCGCCTCGCCGCGTGAGGCGTGCGCGGTGCGCGCGCGTGGCGGCCGCGGCGGGATGTTCGTGGCGCGCAGCATCGCCGCGGATCACCGCGACCTCATCCACGATGTGTCCTTCGACTTCCACGGGCGCCGCATGGCCACCTGCTCCAGCGACCAGAGCGTCAAGGTGAGCGGGGAGCCGCCGGGCCTGGTGCCGCGCCAGTGTCGCGGCCTACCGAGCTGCGGGCGGGCCGGGGCGCGGCCGAGGGCTCGGTGCGCGGCGGGTCCCGGTGCGGTGTCGGGCCGTGGGGCGGGAGGCTGTAGCGCACAGTGCCCGTTGTGTTTGTGTGCGCGCTAACGCGTGTAAACACGGGAACTCCGCTTCCGAGCCGGGGCTGCGGCAGGGAACGCATTCCCGGCTGCTGTGCCTGCAGCCGTGCCGCTTGTGGAGTTTATTCAGCGGAACATCCGTGTTTATTAAATAATGCTTATGAAAAAAACTATTATTAAGTAATGCAGTGTCAGTAATCTGTATTTATTGTGGGAAGGAGGTGAAGTGCCAGTAAGCAAAAAGCCGTAGTGGTCTGTGTGTGCCCTGGCAGACTGGGGAAAGTGTGGAATACAAGAAGTCTTCAATTTTACGTTCCTGTAGAGGAATTAAAGTAGCATTTTACATTTACTTAAAGGAAAAGTTGATTGCTTTTTTGCTTTTTTTTGTGCATAGTGAGAAAATGGGCAAATATTTGGGAGTCACGGGGGTAGATTTAAATCTAATTTGCAGAGAGCAGACATGTTTGTTATTAAATCCAGATAAATGGTTGAAAAAGTCACCTTTTGTAGAAAGCTGTGTCACATGTATATTAGGCTTAAAAACCAAAAAGTAGCCTGTTCTCCCTGACCACAGACTAAAAAGCAAATAACCAACCACAATAAAATGCACCCCCCCCCCAGAAAATAAGCCAAAGCCATGGAGATCTTTGATTTGGACTGACTACCAAGAGTGTGCCATTCTTAAAAAAGATACCATGAGGTGGGTTGAACACAGAAACTGTTCTCTAGCAGTGTAATGTTACTTTCCGGTCATAACTGAATCCTTTATGAGAATGTTCAGAATGTCCCTCCAGCCAGAGGAACAACATCACCCAGGCTGTGTTGGAGAGCCAGAGTGGCAGACGTGGTGACTTTTAGTACAGCTTCAGAGTGAATGAGTGACTGACAGGAGTGAGTGTCAGGTAGTGTCTTTCATTTGGTTATGTTCGTGACTTTCTACATAATTTTTCAGTAAGAAACTCGTAAGTATACAGATGTATGGGAAATCAAGAGAGGGGAAGGTTCAGTGACTTGCATGTGGTCAAAAATCAAGGCAGAAAGCTCATGAAAAGGAACAAGATCTGTTCCCCCACTACCGTGGTGTATATTTTACTCTCCTACTCTGCTTTTGGGATGAGTGCTGGGAGCTGCATTTGGGTTTTGCAGCCAGAGCTGAGCACGTGAGGGTGCTGGGGGCTCTGGAATGAAACAGAACAGTGTGCTCTTGGAACAAAGTGAATGAACTTTTGGGAATTGTAATAATTTCTCTTCTATGTAATTTACTGTTTAAAAAAAGATAGAAGACATAAAATAGTGGGTTTTGCAGGCAGTGCCTCTTCTCCCTACTTGTAATAGGGATAATTTCATGGTGGAGTAAAGTGCAATTTTGTACTCAACCCAATACAGTGTCCTCGATGAAAAGGTTTAGTGGGGATGCATGTGTATGTTTTTGTTTATTTTTATTTTATATATATGAATGGTTGTGTCTTTAAAGTATTAGTCAGTAAGGTTTATTTACAAATTGTATTTTGATTTCTCATTAGGTCTGGGACAAAAGTGAAAATGGAGATTGGCATTGCACTGCCAGCTGGAAGGTTTGTATTTGTAAAAATTACACAGACATAATCATAATTTCTCCTTTGTTTTTGGAGAACCATGCTTCATTTCTGCTGAATTTTAGAGCAGAAATGTTTTTTGTTTGATGTAGATTCTGTATGTCTTGTGTAAAATACTTTTTCTTTGCTTTTGTAAAGCATCTCTAGTGCCTCTCACTTAAAGCAGAGGCAAACATTCAGTCTGCTCTTGTTAGTACTAGTTATGTTGGTAGATTAGTATTAGTAAATATTATCAGTGACTGGTGTTCAGGGAGGGGAAAACAGTACCTTAATTGTTAATTTAATATTTCCTTCTGTGTATAGTAAGACTTAAAAAAAAAAAAAAAGCGGGAAGGGGGAAATGAAAAGGAAAATGTCTGGCTATTAAATGTTACAACATCTGACCTCTGCTTTTTGTTCTCCAAAACCTTTCTGAGAACTGTGTCATATAGATGCTCTGCTTCATCTGGATAATTAGTGCATTCAGCTTCTGAATTGTTCTTAAACTTGTGTTTAATAGGACCACAATGCATTCATCCCTGTAAATGTCAACACAAGGGAGGCTTTTGAATTCCCCTTCTCTAAGACAGGAATGTTGAACTAGGTATGAAAGAGGAGCTTCATATTAAAAAGAAGATTAATCGTGCTTACAAGTGCTTTTGAAAAGTACAGGCAAGCCAGAAAGTAACATGGTAATGGTTGAAATTTGATGGAGAACAAAACTGTACTTTTTGCATCGAGGCAAAATCATAGTTTGGAACTTACAGTAGTAATAAATGATGCCTTGAAATATGCTTGTAATAATTGCATTTAAACACTAAGCACAACAACTTTGCAGTGCTGGTTAGAATAAAGAACTGCAACAGCTGATATGTAACTTTGTATAAAAGAACGTAGGTTTCAGAGGAACAGTGTTACTACTTCCTAGAATTCTCTTTTTCAGAAAGTCATGAAAATATATGGTTCCTAAGGCAGTAAGTTTGCTTCTCTACAGTGTTCTGATGTTTTCTTGCAGACACATAGTGGATCAGTGTGGCGTGTGACATGGGCCCATCCTGAATTTGGGCAGGTCCTGGCTTCCTGCTCCTTTGATAGAACAGCAGCTGTATGGGAAGAAATAGTGGGAGAGTCAAATGATAAACTCCGAGGCCAGAGTCACTGGGTGAGACTTCTTTTCTGTAGCTGTAAAGTTTCTGATTTTGGCTATGTTTTGTTCATTTGTGGCAGCATTCCAACACAAAGGAAGTATTTTTGAAACATTTGAGGAAAACAGCTAACTGGTTGCATTCAGGCCAGTTTCTGTCACTATTATCAATGTTTCATAATGAGATGTTCCCTGGCAAACAACTGGCAGACATGAATTCCCACCTACAGTTGGGTTTTTCTCTGACAAGGGATAATGTGAAGCAACACTGGCTGTTCTTGTTCATCTTTCAAACAATATAAAAGTTGGGGGGGAATTTTTTGGTGGAAGATGTAAGCAATCCTATGAAATGGTATTGTCAGACTTAGCCTTCCTTAGGAAATAAATTTTTGATGGAAATTTCCTTGCAGGTCAAGAGGACCACTCTGGTAGACAGTAGAACATCTGTTACAGATGTGAAGTTTGCTCCCAAGCACATGGGTCTTATGTTAGCAACCTGTTCAGCAGATGGAGTTGTAAGGATCTATGAAGCTCCAGATGTGATGAATCTCAGCCAGTGGTCACTGCAGCATGAAATCTCGTGTAAGCTCAGCTGCAGTTGTATTTCTTGGAATCCTTCAAGGTATGTTACTAAAACATTTGCTTTATGACTGTAACAGGAAAGGAAAAACCATTCAAAGCTGAACTGCTTTGATTTCTCTTTGTCCAGAAGCACTTAATGGCTTTCCCTGTGGACACAGTGCTGTGTCCTGCTGATCCAGTTACTCTTTTATTCATTAGCACTAGTCCATGCTGAAGGTTCAGCATACAGGAGTTCACTTTAATGCATGGGATAGGATAAAAGTGGATTTAAAAACTAAAATTCATGTACATTTAGCTTATGTGATTTATCTTCTGAAAACTGATAGAAATATCACAAAATCAATAATTAAAAGCACTGCAAAGAATGCAGACTCTGCTATGAAACTGGTGGCAAATACTAGACTGCAGATGCAATTTCTGTTACAGAAAGTTCTCTCTGAGAACATCATCTTGAATTGCTAAATAATGTTGTCTAATGTTTTCACCTTAGTGAGTGTATAAGGTGGGCTTTCAAAACAACAGAGTGAGATAGTGGTAACTCTGAATAGCATTTAACTCCTCTTTCTTTGGGATTTTTTCCTTGTGGTATTTTGTGGTGGTGTTCTGTTTTCTCTATAGATAATGTGTTTGAAATTTAACAAATGGCTTGGTGTACTTTCTATGGGAAATACTATATATTAATATTATATATATACATAGATATAATATGTAAATATGACAATACTTGTTTTCACCTTTTAGCTCTCGAGCACATTCTCCAATGATCGCTGTAGGAAGTGATGACAACAGTCCAAATATACTGGCTAAGGTTCAAATTTATGAATATAATGAAAATACCAGGTATGCTAAATAATAATAATAATATATAACATTTGTGGGATTATGAAGTTGTTTATGATATATGACCTTTTATTCCTATCATTAGATGTGGAGTAATAAATAAAAATACCTTAATTTTGTCCCTGATCCATTGGGTAGGAAAAGAGAGGGAGACCTCAGAATGGTAACTGATGTTAACAGAAATGATATTGATAATTTTATTCTCTGTCAGTGCAGAAGTGTCAGTGTTCTTACCAGCATTTTAAAGGGAGAGTAGTTGTTCTGTGTCTGTTAAATTGTGTGTTTAATTTTGCACAAGGAGTTAACAGTTGAAATTTGACTTGTGTTGCACCAGGCACTGTTTTGTTCAAGGCCACCTTGCAATGATTTTAAAGGCATTATTACAATGACAGAAAGTGCTGTGAATTGCTCATGGTCTGTCAAAGTTCAGGTTGTACAGTCAAGAGTCCACAGAACCAGAAAGGGCTACTAAGTTTGTGCACCACCACTTCCAGTTAAATGATAACAGAGAAATTGTGTTTGACTGGGAGTGACCGATGTGGGAAAGGAGCCAGAGTGTTCTGTGGATTTTATGCCCAGCTTCAGGCAATGCTCTCCATGCATTAACAATAAAGTTACTGTAACGTACTAAGAAAATGGAATATGTGTTTATCATACAGCAGAGGAGGCAGACAGTAGTCTGCTTAAAAGCATGGAAAATTTAGTGAATTACTGAGATGCAAATTCCCTTTAGATTTGTGAATGGAATATTTCTCTTCATTTTCCTTTTCCAATTGCAGATGAAAATGTCCTTTGTACTGCAATCCTTGCTTTGTTGTATGACTCACAATACTGTAGCATACTGTACTTAGTGGCTACTGTATCTGATAGATTCAATTTCTGAAGAAATTTGCTTGAAATTATTGCAGAAATTTATGTTTAAAAATTTTTTTTACAAGTCTTATCATGTATTCTTAACCCTTTTCCCCGTTTCCACTATATCTGGTCTATATAATTTTAATCACTGGCAATTTTCATGGCATTAAAGGTTAATTTCTTGCCCTCTACAGGAAGTATGCAAAAGCAGAAGCTCTGATGACAGTCACAGATCCTGTACATGATATTGCATTTGCTCCAAATCTGGGAAGATCCTTCCACATCTTGGCTGTAGCAACCAAAGACGTACGAATTTTCACACTAAAACCTCTAAGGTGAGCTTAAGAGGAAGATGGTTTGATGTGATGTGATGCACACTATACAATCTTGTTCAAATTGTCTCTGCAAAGCAAAAGTAATAATGTATGCAGGATTGTTTTTAGCAACCTGATTTTTAAGGTGACGAGATTGTGAGCAAGTCTATAATTTTCTCTGAATACCTAATCTAATAACAGTTGTTATTACAAGGATTTAGTAGTCTCTGACATCATGTTCAAGCCCAGACCTTTGAACAGTTGTGTGCAGAACTGTCACTTTTCTCTTAAACAGGAAAGAATTGACTTCATCAGGAGGATTAACAAAATTTGAAATTCATATTGTGGCACAGTTTGATAATCACAACTCCCAGGTGTGGCGAGTGAGCTGGAATATTACAGGCACAGTGCTTGCCTCCTCTGGTGATGATGGCTGTGTTAGGCTCTGGAAGGGTAAGGTCACCCATTTGAATCACATTAACTTTGTAGTCTAGTGAATATATTTGAGAAATTTTACTCAAAACATAATTTTGGAGTGAGTGTCCATTTTAGATTTGTGAAAGATAGATTTTTATTGTCTATATTTCTGTTTACGTTTAAGAAAAACAGAATTCAGAAATAACTTTCTGTGTGAAATACTTGCATGATTTAGGTTGCTGTGAATAGCTGTTACTGTACCCTGAAATTGTTTCACCAGACTAGAGCTACATAAAGTTGTCATTTTAAAAAGTAAGGTGGATATTTTCTCTGACTTGAGAATTTTCCCCTAAACCTAGAAAATCTACATTCAGTCACAATGTCAAGGCAAATGGCTTTTTTCTGTGTACATATTTAAGAGAAAACAAACAAATAAATGCATCCCTCTGTCAACCAACCAAATAAAAAAAAAAACCAAACCAAAATTCCCACAACAACAACAATAAAAATCTACTGGCAGTTATCTTACACATTCTCATTTGTTCTTCAGTGTTTTAACAGTGGAAACTGAGTTCTAAATTATGGACAGGCAGAGAATATCAGGCAGCTAAAGGGCCGGATCCTCAGCTGTTTGGAATTTATATATAGGTATTGAAGTTCACGTGTGATTCACACCAGGTGTGCGGCAGTTGAAACATTTGTAGAGAAACTGAGCTTCAGAAGAGAAACTAACAGTGTCTGTATATCTGTGTTTGCAGCTAATTACATGGACAACTGGAAGTGTACTGGTATACTGAAAGGTAATGGGAGTCCAGTGAATGGTAGTTCTCAGCAGGGAATTTTTAATGCCTCTCTAGGTTCAGCCAATACAAGTCTGCAGAATTCACTAAATGGATCATCTGCCAGCAGGTAGGTTAAGTAGTAAAGAGACTGATTTTCAGTAGTCTGTTCTCTGAATCTTTATTTCATTTAGCTCTCATATTTGTTTTACATGTTTTTAAAGTGCAGTGTCATTTATTGCATGAGTACTTCTATAAGCTCCTCTGGTTTTGCTCTGTGGTTCATCTGTTATGCAAGTGTTAAGAGGAAAATGAACAAAACAGTAAGTCACATTGAATCAGTCTGTATAAATAAGCAATATAAATAATTATTTTGGTTTTTAGTCCTTTCATATTATTAAAAACAACATTTCTGAAATAGTTTTAAAGGAGAAGCTTCATCCTACTGGTGTGTAACTGCCCTTTTGATTTAGATATATGCTTAAAAGTGAAGCAAAAATGCCAGCAACAAATTCTGTCTTTTCTCTGGGATGATATAGCAGAAGGGAAGGAAGAAAAGTTACTTGATAACAGTTTCAACAATCAAATGTTAGTGTGATTTAGTTTACTTGTTTTTTTCAGGTGTGTAGCATCAATTGAATAAAAGTTCTGTGGTTTTAAAATTTTCTTCATATGGCATTCATATTGCAAATAATATGCCTCAATCTCTGTTAGGTTTTTGTTCTGTAATTGTTGCTTTTTAGTGAGTAAATTTTACTGCCTCTTCTGAAAAAACATTTTCATTTGTGCACACTGAAATGTAGAAATATGCTGAGTCTTGCATGTGTATGGTGCAGTGTGTACAATCAGCTTTACAGAATTCTAAGGATTCTGTATAAGAATATAAGAATGAGATGTGGGCAGATTCCATAGCAGTGGTTTCCAAGTTTTGTGGCCACCTTTGTTTCAAGTGCCTTGGGATAGTTTCCTTTCCGTCCATGTGCAGTTACTCATGTGGGGTTTTTTCAGTTTGGAAAGCCTATTGGCAAAGTTGGCTTGTGGAGAGTAGCACCAGCCTATCCCCTCTTGCCCTTTCAGCAGTCAATCCTGAATGGCAGTTCACAATCCCTAGCCCTGTTGAACAGAGAACAGGTTTCACATTTTCCTCACAAGATAAATGCGGACACAAGAGGTGGTAATGGGCCCGGTCCCAACAAGAAAGGGCAGCAAAATTATGTTAGTCATGATTCCAGATTCTACTTGCAGTGTAGCAAATGAAATGCAGCCCTGCCTTGGACATGGTATATCCAGAGCTATGTAACTGCATTTGCTTGGGCTCCTGTGGGGAAATGCAGGCTGTCTTACAGCTCTTTGGCATAGGGTGTGGTTTTACAATCTCCTTATCTAAGACTCTGCTGCCACCAAGACTAACCATCCCCACCCCTCTCGTGGCTCTTCTCCTGTCCCTGAACTTGGTGCTAAGCCATTGTGCAGCTGAAACTTCTGGCATTATTTCTATTCCCTTCATTGCTCTGTATTGGAAGGTGTTTTGTTGTGGTTTTTAATAAATTATTCTTGCCTCTGATTTGTAAAACAATGTTATTTCCAGAATTAAGTCAAGGCCTGTGGAATTTTGGGACATATGGTGTCTTGTCCTAGGATTGAGCCTTACATTAAAAGATACACACTTTACTACAGGCTTTCTTTTGTAGTGATACTGGCCTGAGTTGTGTAAGCACAGCTGCTAACTTCTGTGTTAGTGTTAACATGCTGATAAAGATTCATGCATTGACATTTGACTAAATAGGAATCCTACACATGACTTGTCTCTGACTGTACATGCTGTGTTTCGTGTCTATATATTTAAACACTTAAGACAGCTATAGCACAGGCAGATCTGGAAAAGTTTATAAAAGCACTATGGCCAAACAGAATTTGTACTTGAAATAAATTTCAGAACGTGTGATGTAGATTGTTAGGAAATAAACCAGTAGGGCTGTATTATTATGTTGATGTAACTGTGTGTGTAGATTTATGATACAATTTCCATTCTCCATTTGTATTATGTCCTTTTTAACAGAAAGCAGAGCTGATACCAAGCTAACTGGAGTAACTTTGGTGTTTTGCTGCTTGTTGCATGCACACAGGAATGGAAAACGAACTCCTTTTTCCCCTTCCCCAGCGCCGTTTGACCTCTCCCAAGACACCAGCAGCCTGCTAACTACTAAATACTGTTCAGAAAGCCTTTTTCAAACACGTTGTATGCATTTTTTGTACTAGCCTGCACAGTTTGATACTGATGGAACACCCGATAGAAAAATATTTGGAGAGGCATCTTGTTTGGAAAAAAACGTAAACAACCCACCCAAACCTCAAAACTTCCATCAGAACGTAGTTTTGAAAGCTTGTAAAATTAAAAGATAGTTTGTGATTAAAACCAAGAATTTTTGTCCTTGATTGGGATGGGAGGAGGGAAACGACCATTACGGTAACTTCCATTAAAATTGTTTTGAGAACCAATTTGTTTTGCATTTCAGAGTGTTCAGCATTTGATAAGGATTCCCTAAACATTACAAGGTTGTAACTGCTTTGTAATATATATGCAACTGTTAGTTCTAAAGAAGTGAGAAATCTGTTTTGACAATTGTACAGATGATGGCTTTTAGTGGTTTGTTATTGCTTCGTTTATATTCTTTAGTATGACTTCAAATAAATGTTTTGTAAGTACTGTCATACTTCATCCTGAAAGAAGTACTTTCTCTGTTACATATGTACATTCCTGTGGTAAGAGTTATAATTACATGGAATACTTAAATTCTCTCAACGTAATATCCTTGAAAAATGCAAACACTTTAGCCATACAGAGATAGAAACCAAAATGCAGTTTGTTGTTAATTGTCCCATAACTTCGTTAATAAACTCATAGCTGTTCTTTGTTGTAAGTCCACAGAATTGTAAATAAGACAGAAAACATAATATAGTTATACTAAAATGCACAAGTGTTACGGGTAAGTTCTAATAAAAGCAGTAGCAAAATGACATGGAGTGGCATAATTGTGAATCTTGCATTCACCAGGAATCTTGAATTTACACAAAATTGAGGATTTTGCAGAAATATGTAAATAGATACAAAGACTGTATTTCATTCAAAGCAGTTATTCTTTGTAAATGTATATCAATGTAAAAAGTGGTGTTTTTACGTCTTCTAGAAATGCTGTGAAGTTAATCTGAATTAGGTGCATATGCAGCAAGTGTACTTTTTGATAATATTTAATGTATATTTTGTGTCACAAAGAAAGCATTACTGAAAGCTGTTAACAAATCACAGAAATTCTGGGAGAATGAAAGCCTGTTAATAGCTGTACTACACCACCTTTTTGACTTCAAAATAATCAATTCTTTTGTAAAAATGTATGCTAGGACTATGACTATGGTATTTTCAATTAATTTTGGTGGAAAAGACTATTATTTTGCTTTAAAGAAGAGTTTCCAGATTTGTCTTGTTTTGAATTACAAGCCTTGATTTCTGCTATTATGTTCTATTGGTTTTGGCATGGATATACTAAAGCCTTTTTTTTTTCCAGCATGTCTTTTCTCCCCTTTGGTTCTCCTTGTATTTACTACCTTTCTCTTCTTTTCTTGTTTTGTTGGTTTTTTTGTTTGTTTGTTTTTTTGTTTGTTTTTTTGTTTTGGTGTTTTGTTCCTTTCTTAATTGTTTCAGGTATTTCTTTCCCCCTCTGGATTCCCCACGGGCTGGATCGAGATGGTCCAGTCATGCCCAGCTCCTTCCTCCTCCTCCTCTGATAGAGCAGTCTTGTGATGCTGACACTGCCAACCTCCAGTATCCTCACCCTCGCAGACGATGTGTGTCTCGGCCTCTTAATCTTTTACCTGAGAATGAAGGGGTTTAATGTGTTCCTTTAAATAAATTCTGAAGGGCCTTATTCTGGGTGTTTGTGAATGCTTCCATTTCTGGCTGCCTTTGTATTCCTTCTCTGGTACAAAAGACTTTTTTTAAACATGTGGGAATTTCGTGCATGTTTTGTGAGACAAAAAACATTTAGAACATGTTATTTGTGTATCAAAGACCATTTTATTTTGTACCCATTGAATTTTGGGAACATACATAAACAGTATTAGCCATGCGCTCTTTATGGAGTAGATGGTTTCAATTTGCCTGGGGTTTTCTCCTTTTCTTTTTATCTTTTTTGAATCAATTTAGTATGGTTTTTATTTTTTTCTTTTTGTATACTGCATTTAAGTGTGAAGCACATTCTCAAAATTAGACATGCCTTCAAGACACTTATGAGTGAAGAATGATGTTGCATCACCTTGTTAAAGAAACAAAACCATTCCTGTGTATATTGCAGCAAAATAACTTGAAGTGTTTGGTTACTTAGGGTTTTTCCATCTTGCTATATAAATATTTAAATTTTATAATTGTGGTTGACTAATAAACTTGTTCTGAAAGGTCTGTATTTGTATGTCTTTCCTTGTAATTATTTTTTAACAGGTTCCTGATGAAGGAGTTTTTCTGAATCAGGTGTCCACTCTCCTAGCTCTGCTCTGTGCCATTCTTGATGTGCAGCTGCATATTCCCAGTCTGTGCCACAAGGTGTGCTCTCACTTTTCCCATGGCTGTGCTGGAGGTCTGTGCAGGCTCCTAAAGCTGTTGGGTTTCACATTACTTCTCAGTTCTTTTCCAGTGATTGAATTCAATCAGGGTCTTTTGAAGAAAGAGTGCTGGCTTGAAAAATGCCAAATGTCTTTTGTGCTGTCAGCACGGGAGGGAGAATCACTGCTGTGGATCAGTATGTTGGCACTGACTCAGTCTGGTGCAAGGCAGGCAGGAAGACAATGCTGGGCAAAGAATACTTGGTATTGCCCAGGAGTAGCATTACTGCACAGGATGGGACTGCTGAGGTTTTTGGGCAGATCCTGGGGGAAGGAAGGAAGGAAAGAGGAGGCCTTTGTGCTGCAGAAACCCAAAGTATAATTGTATATTTCAATGTGCTTCAAAATGGACTTACCCTGTTTCCTAGACCACTGCTGTGAGGTAAGGGAGAGGACAACTTGTATTTTTCCAAAATGACATGTTCCTATGAGCTTTACTTGTGTTCTGAAAACTTCAATTGCTCAGATCCACCACATTTGTTTTTTTGTTTCTCTCTGAGGAATAAAGTTTTAATTTAAAAACCCATGAGGTACACTGGTATTAGAATGTGCTTGCTGAACATGTGTGGAGGGAGGCTGCTGATACTTTCCAGCCAACAGGAACAGAAGTGAACAAAAGGAAAAAAAAGTTTTATACCTTTACTAGAAAAAGTTAACACGAAACCATGCCAACTTTGTATGGTAAACAGAAATGTTACATGATTAAAGGATAATGCTTAAATGGAGGGTGGAAAATAACTGTTCCTCTAAGGGAGAATGAATAATTGAAAAAATAAAAATCAACACTATTACACTGGGATATAGTCCTAAACCAGACCAAATTGTTTCTTGATATGGAAGCAACAAAACATATTTTTTAAGTGTTAAACCATTTGCAGCATTCATGTCTTAACCCTGGAAGAGGTCACTGATAACCAGTTAGAGTAATGACAATCTTTTGCAGTTTCTAGTAGTGCGTTGTTAATAGTTTATTCAGCACGGTCACGTTATTTTCCTCTGTGATGAACATGTGTTATTATTAGATATCCTAATTCCAGTCACACTTCTTACTAATGGAAACATGCTGTAAGATTGAGTGCAAACAAGTCATGTTAGAACACAGTGGCCAGGTACTTTAACCTCAGCAAATGAGCTCAGGCTGGTTTTGTGGCCAATGCCTGCCTTGCCCCCTAGCTGCTATTTTGTATTGACCTCTCTCCAAACCAGTAGCCTTTGATGCACATCCCTGACTTTCCACCTCTGCTTCCTCAAACTCATCGACTCTTCTTCCTTGACTCAAGCCTGTGAATTTCTGTGCAGGATCTGGGCCCTTGGACATAGGCAGCAAAACTCTAGGAGGGAAGATTAGAGAAGGGCTTTGAAAGGGATAATTACAGCAGGTACACACAATATTTTAAATTTATGCAGCACTTTTTAAGGCTACACTCCTTTTTCTTCTTCTGCAAGAATACCCACAATAGCCCTTCTACTGCTTCTGTGCTTGGAGCACATCTTAGTTTGAGCTGCCAGGATTGGAAAGTTTTGGGTCCTGTAGAAGCCATGAGATGGCATTGGTGGTTTTCTTTGCTTTCTTTGGTTTTGTGGGTTTGTGTGTGCGGTTTGTGTCTGTGGTGGTTTTGCTTTTGGTGTTGTTTGGTCTTGTTTTGAACATATTTGAACCAGTATGAATTTCTGATTACGACAAATGTGGATTTTCACTCTCCATACAAGGAATACAACCATAGAAATGCATTCTGAAAACATCCTGAAGAGCACTGAACTTGATGTAGATCTGTAGAAGTTTTCATGCACACACACACATTTGGAAGGCACCTGCTCACATCCTCTACTTAAAAAATCCCTGTGACATGTACGCTTCAGCATGAAAATGAAATTTTCCATGTTCTGTACATAAACTAGAACACAAGGAGTTCCACCTCAACATGAGAAAGAACTTCTTTACTCTGAGGGTGGCAGAGCACTGGGACAGGCTGCCCAGGGAGGTCGTGGAGCCTCCCTCTCTGGAGACATTCAAACCCCAGCCAGAGCCCCTGCTCTGGGTGACCCTGCCCTGGCATGGCGGTGGGACTGGACCAGAGGTTTCTTCCACTCCTAATAATTCTGTTTTCCAGCCTCATTGTGAAAAATGCTAATGACTTGTTTTTAAAATTTTAATAGTTATAAAATGGTTTTAAAATAGTAAAACAATTAGAATAATAATAATTTAGACTATTTGGAATATGAGATGATAGAAACAAAGAGTTACAGATGGTCCAGGTACCTTTTTCTGGGCAAAATAAGCCCGAAAAAGGACCCACGTTAACGGAGGATTAACCCTTAAAAACAACAGCCTGTTTCATATTCATACACCTCATACATGATGCATAAATTCCATTCAAACACGGGATTCTGTCTGGTCAGTGTCAACTTCCTCCTCTTAATCCTGACGGCATCTTCAGGCTGAGCAAGGCAGGAAGAAGTTGGTTTCTTCTGATAAGAGGCAATAAATTCTCTTCCTCTGAAAGATTTAGGTGTCCCGTGGCTCCTATCTTGCTGCGCGTCCTTTCTTTAAAAAACGTATCTTGCATAGCACAGTTTCTATTTTAACATTTTTTCTAACCTAGAAATATATTTAACACACTACTTAAGAAAATGAATACAGCATAACCTTCTAACATAACACATATAATGTAAAAAATGAGTATTTTGTTTTTGGCTTTTCACACATATTAAAATGAATATTATATGTGTTGTGTTAGAAACGAATGCTGTATTAATTCTCTTAAGTAGTGTGTTAAATATAGTTTTTGGTTATAAAGTAAGGTTAAAATAGAAACTATGCTATGCAAGATACTTTTTTTAAAGAAAGGACTTGCAGCAAGATAGCAGCCACAGGACACCTGTCTTTCAGAGAAAGAGAATTTATTGCCCTCCTATCAGAAGAAACTAACTTCTTCCTGCATCGAAGGCGTTGTTAGGATTCAGAGGAAGAAGCTGACACTGACCAAACAGAATTCTGTGTTTGAATGGAATTTATGCATCATGTATGAGGTATATGAATATGCAACAGGCTATTGTTTATAAGGGTTAATCCTCCGTTAACGTGGGTCCTTTTTCGGCGTCCTGCTGCCCAGAAAAGGTACCTGGACCGTCTGTAAATCTTTATTCTTATTGTTAAATATTGTCCTAATGCAATTTGACCATATTATTATTACTCAAATTATATTAATATTTTTATAACTATTTTATTAGTATTAAATTTTCAAAATTTAAAAAAAAAGTGACTGGCGGTTTTCAGATATAATATTCATTATAATGTTTCAGAAAAGCCACACTCATCTAACAGATTAAGATAGCAAAAACGAGACAGAAAACAAAGCTGGGAATATAAACAACGTCAGACAAGTTAATCTGAATGATCTTATTTGTTTTTCCCAGTTCATTTCCTTTCAGTAAGGGAAACGGAATCTTGCGGTTTAAACAGGGACCAATAGAGGAATCTTTGGTGCATGAGCCAGCCCTTGATGGCATGGCATGCCTTTTCACAGCTTTGACATAGGGAAAGAATTTTTCCGTTTTTTTCCTTTTTCAACTATCCAGGGCATGTCCCTCATACCTTCCCCACCATGTTCTGTCTTCCTCCATGACTTTTCCTCCTGCTTTTGCAACATCTGTGAGCTTAGTTTTGGCATCTTTTGGTCCTTTGCACTGCACCTGATAGAATCCCGGTCAAGTTTGCTGTAGTCACTTTTTTCCCAAATTTCCCACATTTGTTTTTTTTCTCCTCCAATTGCAATTGCTTGGATGGAATCTCCATTCCAGAGTGTTTGTAAG